GAATTGCTAGAAGGTAAGTAAACTGTTCCATGCATCAATATTGGTTAGAAGTGTGCTTTACAAATTAAATGCGAGGTCTCACCATGGTTTTCTTTCCCCATGGCCTCCTAAGGGAACAAGCAGACTAAAGGAGTGGGAAGAAGTGCTGTTGCTGATATTAAAAGGTATGTGCTTAGAAAGCATAAAACTGCTGAGTGAACATATGCTGTGAAAACTCTCTCCCTCCACCCAGTTAAAAAAGCAGACTCGATGGCAGAAAAAGAGTAAAGTAGTTCCTATGTTATCAAACACAACTTTTTTTTTCCACATTTAATAAGGCACTTTCTGACACTTAAAAAACTGTTTTGTTTCCTTTTCAAAGACACTTTTCACATATCACATCTTTCTAAAATACTGGTGTAAAATCCAAAATCCTCACTGCTCAAATCCTAGAGAAAACATTTTGAATTTAACACTGCATTTTACCACTGTTTTCATTTAAGACACTTAAAATTTTGAAGAAAACATTTATTTTCATTTGATGACACCCCCCCCAATAGGATCTCTTTTTTGCTTTCTCGTAACTGTCAACAAGCTGAAAATTCAAAAACTGCATAGCAGAGGGGTGAAGCTCCCTGCAGAGTCTTAAATCATCACAGAAATTCCAGCGAAAAGGGAAATCTCTGCCTTAATGCCACTCAGATTTCACAGACTCAGAAATCATGAAGTCTAGTTCAGCAAAGTTAAAAGGGTAAAATACGACTCATGTTGTACTGGGTTGTTATGTCATTAGCGGTTCATTTTAAAACTTTGAAAAAAAACCACAGAAACAAACCAACCAATCCCCAAAGCCCCAGATTATTCTGCTTATCCCTGAAGTATATGGAAAGGTTTTTCTCCCTTGTATCTCCAAAGATGCCTCTGGCATTCTATACAGCTTAACATCTACACAGAAATCCATCTTAAAAAAAAAAAAAAAAGCAGTTGTGAAGCCACCTCTTTTCTCTCAGAGATGAAACGGGGGTGTTTCCTCCAAGACCTCCGCATGCCAAACTCCAGGAAGTCCAAAGTGTCTCAGAGCTGATGCCTCCTTCTGGGCAAAAGCAAACCATGGGCTGAACCTAGAACAAGCTTGCAGAGAATATGAATATTGGCTTCATATTTTGGTAATTAACAGGGAAACAAAGGTGCAGGTACCACCACAGTGCCTTTTACAGAATCAGACATACCTTCCATGAAAAAATAGTGACTCTAATTTTTAAATATGAGTTTCAAAGATATTTTTAGAAGTTTCCTACTCCTGTACTTACAAGTGCCAAAGCATCTATGTAAGAGTAGCTTCAGATCTTCCTTTATTTTCTTAGTCATTCACCACCTAGCGCAGGGGACTTTTTGCTGCACAGTGACCACTCCTCAGGCTAGGTATGGAAGCTTACTAGAGAGGGTGGGGAAGAGGAAATTTTAACTGTGAATCAGAGAACACATCAAGCCTTTGGAGGACTGGGCTTGACAGGCAGCAAGACAGACAATTTTCATAGAATCATTTAGGTTGGAGAAGACCTTTAAGATCAAGTCCAACCATTAACCTAATCCTGTCATCCCACCACTAAACCATGTTCCCCCTAAAGCTACGTGTAGAGGTTGAATGGATGCAGTTATTATGCAGGTGTGCTGGTTCCAACGTTTCCTATAGGGAGAAAGCAATTGAGACTCATCATTTCTTTCACTGGGTAAGACAAGAATTCATTTCTTAGTGATTGCTATGGCAGCTGGAGTCTTCAGTTTGGGATTCGTCACTTCTTGACCCATTTCTGGATAAGACTACATTTAAAAGACAGGTGTCGAACCTATGTACTTTTCACAGGCATAAAGAATATATATTAAATGTAAAAATACACATAGACATGTAACAAACACGCAGAAGAAGCATTTGTAAGGACATTTACAATAAATGGCACTAAACAGCTTTATTAAGATTTTTAATTTTTCTTTTATGAAAAATGAATAGGATTCTTTCTTTTCCCTTGTACACAGAGGAAGAGCAAACTAATGGCAAAAATCAACAATGCTTTCTTATTTCAATACCATCTTTGTAGCCACAAAGATACAACTATTTAACAGACAAGAAATACTGTTTATTGCAGACTTTAAGCTGATTCATGTGAAAAAGGCACTATGAAACTTAATCAAACTAGACGATTAAATTTGTCTAAATTAAGTGATATTATATATTATATATAATACATATATTATATATAAAATCACGCAACCATGTCAAATAACAGAACATTTTTGTGACAAAAATCATTGCATCTTCAAAAATAATATTTGCTGGAAGGGATGTTTCCTCTTCTCCCCCTTTTGCCTCCAGGAATCCACTTTTCCAAAAGATTACATTTATAAAGAAACAATAGCTTTTTACATAAGGAAAAACTGACATCTGGGATCAACACACAAAGAAGTCTAGATTATACACTGTTCTTTTGATGGGTTAAGTTACGAACAAAAAAAAAGCAAGTATATTAAAAAAAAAAAAAACGTACTGCGAATTGTTTCATGGCTACCTACAGCAGATCTGATCACCTCTTTGAGCTGAGCTGCGTTACTATTTTCTAGTTATTCCTTGTTGTGCAGTATTATAGTTCATCACGAGTGAAGTATTGATAAAATCAATGTACAGGGTGTTATTTTGCTATAAACAGCATCATTAGCAATAAAACATCTTGGGAGTGATGCAAGAAAGATTCAGTCTATGTCAGGCTGCTGTTCATTCTCTAAACATTTCCTCTCTGATTGCTGGCATCAGTGACTTAACTAAACATCCTGCAGCCGAATGCATGACAAGGAAGACTGAGCCAAAAAGACATAATTGCAAACTACAGCAAGAGATGGGATTCAGAATCTTATTATTACTGAAGGGTCCAAATGCTTTTTTTATTGCTGGCTCAGCTTCCCTCGGATGACTCACAAAGACATGTTCCAGTTTATCTTTCATGGAGTGGTTAATTCAATAAAGCCAAGACTCATCTTTGGGTGTAAACAAATCACATGCCAATATTTTCACCTGTCAGGAACCTCCACTGAATTTCTCATCTGTTCATTTTCAATGATGAGAAGCCAGCAGCAGGTACTTCTGTGGAGACTACTGTCAATTTTCTTTATGGTGGCTAGTTACATTTACAGTATTATAAGACATTCCCCTGCACTGCTTCCTAAAGCAAAGCTGCATGGTATAATGCTAATGGACAATGGTGTTAAAGAAAAGAGGAAAGACATTTTAGTGGCTGCTTCCTTCATCAAAGGACTCCACACCTGAATCTGTGGCAGCTGCACTGATTTTTTCTTGTCGTCTTCTCATAATTTCTTGCAGTTCTGAACTACCACTGTTAGCCTATAAACAAATAAAAAAGAAAAGGAGTTTACTCTTGGTTATTAGACATGATGAGGATCCTCTGCCAGGATTTTATTAAGACAGATGTTTGAACAAGTTAAATCCACTTTGCTGCTCCAGAACTAAAGATGCACTAAGAATCTGGTTAAATAACATTTGGAATAGGAAAGTATTTACACTATCCTTAAATGTGGACCAGAAACGAACCTGCAGACTATTAAAAGTGTCAGCTTGACTTTTGGCACTGCTGAGCATCTTTAATTCTCACTCAAGCCACTGAAGTGTTGGATATTTACGGGGTGAAATATGGCCTCAGTAAAAGCAGGGTTAAAGCCCAGCAAGTTTGTTAGGATTCCACCCTTGAGTAGTTAATTGTCATGGCAATCATATTTAGAAATTAAAGCATATAAATCCTTGGTGGGTTTAGGTTTATGTAAACACAAAATTCATGCATACACATGGGTTTGTACAGCCAAGGCCTCAAATAAAGATTGAGATACCTAATCTTAGTATCCCGCATTATACGATACAACATCGTGCATTCGATGTTCAGAGACACAGGCTTCAACCTTAGGACAAAGTCTTAAGAACTGAATTATATTAACTGTACTAGCAACAGTGTAGTACAGTGAGGACAAGGCCTTATTTCACCTTTCAAGGTGAAAAACAGGTCTGCTGAGCTAGCTGCAAACAGATTGCTTCAACAACGTAAACGAAGTTATTAACAAGGCCAGGACACATATCCATCCACTAGAGCAGAACTTCCCAAAGTGTGCATGACTTTGAATGAGACTAGAGGATTACAAATCAAGAACCCTAGCTGCTACTGTGTTATTTGGCTATGACATGACCTTCCAAGCTTTGAAACTATCATCTTCCAAAATAGTCTCTGAATAAAGAAGCAGAAACTGTTTTTGACATTTGTAAAGCAAATTTCAGGACTATTAAGGGGAAAAAATCCTTCAGTTGATTCTGAACTCTGAAAATTTATCCCACTACATAAAATTTAACTTAGATTTATCCCATTATATCCATTACAATGCACTCTCAGATGCCATTACCTGGCAGACAGGTTAGATATTCACAGGGAGGGAGGTGAGGATACTTCTGCTAGGTAAATTATCATTGCTTTCTCCTCCCAGAGTGGAAGGGCAAAGCAGGGGGCTTATAATCGACTCCCTGAAGGTGAGAGAGCACTTTTATTTGTCTTAATTCATCTTGTCCTTGCCCACTTGGTTTCAGACACAGAGCAAGTGCAGCAGTCAGCCATTACTAAGTAAGTCATGCATAAAAAACATCAGCAGATACTCGACAACGTGCTTTATCAGAGGTCATGTGCAAATATTTTCCTGAAAACAACGGAGCAGCCAAGGTTGAAACAGTTTACCTTCCTGATAACATCAATAACAACACGACTGATGAGCTTGAAACGCTGCTCAACTAAACCAACTGCAATACATCATGTGGCATGGCACAACAGGCACAACCTATTCGGAGACAGGGTAGCCAAGTAGCCTAGGGCTGTTCTTGGGAAGACAGTTTTTGGAACAGATGGCTAGACCTTGGCCTTAGTGATTTACCCAGCTTAGTCTCTAACCAGACCATGAGGCATCAGTAAGGTCCATCGTTCAATCCCACTTCTGCGCCTGGGTCATTCCTCTCACTGAGGAGTCAAAGAGAATAAGCCATTCTTCCAGCCAATTTGATACATATATTAGATAGAAACCATGTTCAGTTTTAGAGGGATGTGTGCCCATGCTTCCCATTGATGGAGCAGGAAGACAATGAGAACGTGGACCCAAAGTGTTCCCTTCTGTAGATGACAAAGGTGGTGGTCAGGATCTTGTGTCTCTATGCTTATCTTCTATAGCGCTTTTCAACACCAGAGCTTGAAACGCTCAACAGAAGTTATGGCAATGGACACATAAAAACTCATAATCATGGACACTTATTAATATTTTCACTTTGCAATGAAAAAGTAAATCCAAATAGATGACCAGCCAAGTAGCTGTTATATACTGTACTTGGTATACAACGTGAACTTCAACTCTCTGGAGCAACCCCAGAAAACAGCTCCCAGGGGGGATAACGCTGATCAGTACAAAGAGTGTGGTGCATCCTGCCTCCTCCTGAGACACCGCTGCTCGCCACCAACATTTCCCCCTGGCTGAAGGGAGGTGTTTGGCCTTGGCTATCGCCAGCTTTCTGTTGTCTGACGCATTGGTCTCATAAAGTCTTATCTTTCTGCTTTTGCTTGGCCAGGCCCAGAAAGCTGTAAAACCCCAAAGACCTTCCCCACACTTGCAGTCTATTTATACAGAAGCCACAAACTCCATTAGGGTTCCAATCAGAAATTACATAAATTCTGAAATTCATCAATTAAACCTCAAATAACTGATGCAGAAATAAATATTTCAATTACCTTTTCACTAACAAAATCCAATGACCTTGTTAAACTCTGTTTATTAACACTTCTAGAGCATTTATTAGACAAGTTTCGACTGCTCAGTTTCCTGCAGAGCAAGACCTAACTGAGGCAAGCAGAATGACAGCAGAGAGGGAAAAAAGGGCATACTTCTACAGTCCAGTGCATCTCTGCTTTTCAGACAAATTACCACCACAAAGGCACTTCCATCTCAGTACACAGAAGCCTTATGAAGCTGAAATAAGATTGTTGACATTCCAGAAAAATTGAAGAATACACATATATCTTCACTAGGAAATGATGGATTGTAGTGACATACATTCCTAAGAATAAAAGTCAAATCTCTTCCTCTCACAGGAAAACACGGCTTGAAGAAGGGAATAAAGCACTCTTAACAGTGTTTGAAAGTAATGCTCTCTGATCCACACTGATCAGGTAAATTGTAAAATATGCATCATCATAAACTTGTCTTTAACAATATGCCTGGTAGTCAAAGCTTAAAATCATTTAAGCAAGACAATCCCAGCTTCAAGAGGAGATAGAAACACATTTTAAACTTCTTCACTATTTTCTTTTAAACAGGATGTGAAGAATATAGTTTCTCGTTTGGATTAGTCTCACCTCTAGACAGTAACGAGTCTGTTTCTTCACTTGCCACAGAAAGTTTTAAAAATAAAAAAAGAGTGGATTCACCTGCAGTTCTCCTGTTTAAAACTGATAAGCGTTCTCCCTAGCACAACACCATGTACAAGCTTTTAATGTGTTTAAGGAAGAATTAAAGCAAACTGCCACAGAGTGATGAATACAGACATACAATGTTTTCATCCTCCATTCAGTAATTCTGCTAGCATAGCATCAAATGTGTTTTCCCCTGCTTAGGAACCCACTAATACAGATGCCCCAGTGTTTGACCTGAAAGGCTTAGAGATTTAGCAGTGAGCTCACTCTACCACTTTCTCATGCCTAATAAATCAAATCTCCTCTACAAAGATAAAGCAAAACTAACTCATCACCACCAAAAGTACCAGGCAGAGCAAGAAGCAAGAAAAAGGGCATTTTACTCTCTCCTCTTGGTTTCCCCAAAACCCTTTTTGGCTCATTTTGTCTTCTTGAAGTCTGATTACAGCACACAATGTCTTAAACTTGAGTACTACCAGGCACTTTTTCTAATACTTTTGTGGGCCCCTTTAGAAGTGGGGAGAGATCCCACCTAGTGATTTGACGGTTGCTGTTTCAACGGATTAATACCAAATAACTCAGGTACAAATAATGCTTATCAATGTTGATGGGAACTGAGAAAAAACAGCTGCTTCACAGAAAGAGCAAGTTACTTCTATAGGTTAAAAAGTGGCCACCCAGAATTAGGTTAGTATGAAGGGTCATACATACCTCCAAGGCAGATTTCTGTACCGTAATTTGGCTGTAGACTCTAGACCCTTCTGGGCAAACAGTCTTTAGTTCGTCTTTATTGAGGGAGAAAAGCTGGGCACCTGTCAGCACGCCAAGGCTGTTGACAGTCCTGTGGTCACACCAAGGGAACAAAGAAGAAATAAGCAAAAATACACTAGCCAAGGGAGAGAATCAGGTTATCCTCATCCCACATTTTCTCAGGTAGGGCTACTAAATTAAGACAAAACTTTCACAGAATGCTTTGGGTTGGAAGGGACCTTTAGAGGTCATCTAGTCCAACCCCCCTGCAGTGAGCAGGGACACCTTTACTCTAAGTAACAGGACTCTTGAAGTCAATTCAGTATCTGTTATAACAAGTATATTTTGGTGGAGGCTAATGCATATATTTTTTTTTCCTAAATACATCTATATCTCTATAGATCTATGACCACATTGATATATATTGATATATATATTATATACATATGAATACATAAATATTTATGTATATATATGTAAAAACAAATTATTTTTTCCACGGGTGCAGCTGACGTGTTTTGATTTTCAGAAGGCTGCTTGATTTTAAAAAGTGGGCAGACCATATCCTAATTACTGACAGGAAAATAAGTTTAAGAAGTTTTCTTACATTTGCCCTCATACTTACACAGGGTTGAATCCTTTGGACTCCAACCATGCTTTGACATCCTCAGGTGAAGAGTCGTAAGTGATGTTAACTACCGGGATGTTTGGTCGTGGCACGTGGAACTTCCTCTGGGCAGTGCTCCGGCCGATGGTGAGCCGGTGAACAAGTTCATCCTGCACCTCCTCCATCTGCGATTTCCTGCCTAGAGAGAGGGATGCCCCACAGGAGTTATTCTCAAGGTTGCTTTATCAAAGCCAGGTCATTTCTTATACTCCACTTGAAATCTTAGCTTCCCTAGGGAAGACTTCAATATTCCCACTCCTCTTTTTGCAAAACATTACAAAAGCAAACACACACACATACTCCCCACCACCCACCCCGCCCCAAATTCAACTGAGACCCTAGAAAGAGGAGTTGCATTTGGTGTTGCACAGGGGTGTAGATCAGCCCGACAGCACCCAAGCTGTAGAAGAAAATGGGCATGGAGGGTTATTCAATTGTCATAGTCTGCATTTCTTCAAATAGAATTAAGATGTGTTAAAAATGAAAATGAAAAAATTAAGATTGCTTACACTGTGGAAAGGCAGCACTTTCTACAAACATGTTTTAAAAGAAAGCTCCACTTTTTAGTGCAAATCAATGTAGGCAAAAAAATTTCATGGCTGCTGACACGTATCACCTTACATCTAATAACCTATTATAGTAATGACATTTTTGAAGGGGTTGTAAGAAATTTGAATTCAGTCCAAGCCTGGAGTGACTGGTTAGCTGAAACAATGTCACACTTTGCATTAAAAAGAGAAGAAAAAAAAAGTAGTTGCTCTCACCAGAGACACAGGAATTGGGCAGACTTTTTTTTTCTTCCCCATCCCCCAAACCAAACCAAAACTGGACACTATGCTGTCCCACAGAACCCATTTGTCTGAAGCATTTAGTTCAGTTGCTGATCATTAGCAGGCAACAAAATGAAATGCTTTTAATGCATTTCAACAAGATCAATTACAATGACACTGAAAATTGTTTAAAATGTGGATTAGAAGTTCTATGGATTATTTCACAAAAATAGGTAGAATCCAAAAGCATGTAAATATCTTTTTGGGCACAGAGAAGATACTGATGTAGCACAGTTAAACTCTCCATGCAGTAACCCTGGAATAACTACAAAAAGCCTTTGAGACACAACTTTAAACGATCTCAGAAATCCTCAGGATTTCCTTACCAAGACAGTCATCTTTATTCAACCTTCTCACTTTTTGATACACAAACAGTAACTACAGCACCTTCTCTCCCATTACACTGACAGCAACAGAGGAAAACAACACAACTTCAATATGAAAAAAATGTAAGATAGCAAAAATGTTTCTTTCTGTACTTTCCTTTTATATCGTCCCAAAACCTCTCCAAGGATCACCATCTCTAGCCAGTTAGACAAATAAAAACAAACTTTACATAGGCTTGCTTTTAGGACTATTGTTTTTTAATCACAACAACAACAAAAAAAGAAAAATCCTTTGTTTAGCCATTATTTTTTTTTCTTTTACAAAATAGCCCCAGGTTGAAAGTGGACAAAATATCTCTAGTAAAATATTTGAGGCATTCAGGCCTTATTGTGTTGCGGTTTTTTCCCCCAGAGTGTGAATCAGAAGCCAAAATGATATGTGCTCAGCGGTATGTGATGGTCTGAGATGGGATATACAAGTAAAGCCTTTAGGCAATGTTGTCAAGGCATGCACCAGTTATTTTCCCAAACAGGAAAAGAGAGAGAAAATTGCTATCTTCCTTCTATTTACACAGATTTTGAAGGACTTATGTTTTATCCAGACCGAGACTACATCAAAAGATAAGTATTTAGCTGTTAGATAACAGATTCTCACTGTTGTTAGGTGCATTATCATAAATAAACAAGATGCGCTTGGCGTGAAGCAGACGCTACAGGGAGCGTTCTCTGCAGGGTTCAGGTGGGTACTTGGGCAGCAGGGGCAGGGGCAGGGTTGCCCATCGCCTTTGCAGAGGCAGCCGTTCTGCCAGGGCCGTGAGGTACCTGAAGCTCCTGAACTGGGCTTGAGCAGCAGCTCCCCGCAGGGCACAGGAGCTCTCACGCGTGGCCCAGGGCCTCAGCGGATGCTGAGAGGACAAGAGATGTCTTGCCACCGCTTAGCCTACAGCAACACTTCACACCTCACACCCTGTACTTCAAGCCAGGATGGTCTTCACTTTTTCCATCTGTCACGGGTAGAGCAGGCCAGCATGGATTCAAGGGAACGCGCCTGCTACAGCAAGCAAAGTTCTTACATGGAAATAAAAGTATCGTTTTCTGTCCGCGTGTGTGTGTGTGGAATTCACCCTCACTTTCCACATAATTTCTAACTGCTTGGGTTTCTGTTTTTATTTAAGTAACAAACTGCTGCCCAAACTGCAGAAGCTGGCCCTACTGTTTCTTTGGGAAACAGCAGTGAAGCCTCCTGCCCGGCTGTTCTCCATTTATAACTTCCAGCCAGCCAGTCTGTTATGTGAAAACATTAAAAAGGGCCCAGAGCCTTCCTGAGTTCAGAGCTTAGGCGAGAGCTTGTCTGCCACCAGGCAATGTCAAAGCAGGCTCCGCCGACTGAGCGGGGTACCCAAGCAGGCACGCTTCCCATTGCCTGGGGACAGGGGGGAAAAGAAGCCATCCTGCAGAAAGGTTTACGCTCGGTGCCAGTTTTTACCTCAGGTAGAAGTGGGATTTTCTGATAAGGCAGGGAGGCGGGCGATGGGAGAAGCTGTCAACTCCTGAACTGCAAAAAGCTTATTGTAACAGCTACTACTTTAAAAACTATAGCAAATGCCTGCCTAAAAGTTTCAGTTATTTTTAAGCCAAGCAATCACATTGCTTAAAGTGCAGTTAGGACAGAATTTATTGACTAAATATTTAAAGTTCTCCTAACCTAACCTGCTTTTCAGTCAATACAGAGTAGGAGCCTCAGCAGCCGACGGGCTTTACATTTACAAGGTGGCCTTAAGCAGAACTTTGCATGACTGCCACACACTGCTGGAAGCAGGCTACCATGCTTTTCCAGCTAAAGGGCTGCAGAGTACGTTCTCTCATCCTCCTACGACAAGGACGCAAAAGTTTGCTCGGTGGCCTGCCAGTTGCTGTTGCTTTGACCAAGCTGAGGGAACCTGATTATAAGACGAGTGTCCTAACAACACTGTTACAACATGGTTCCTATGCATCAGCCAGACCAGTAACTCTTCTTGCAAGCCTTGGATACACGTTCCGGAATGGTGCAAATGCCCTAGAAATATGGATGACCATGGACAGAAGTGTAAAAACAGCCTAACTGATTTTAAAAGCAATTTAGATTTTTCAGGTGGAAAATGTACAAATACCAGCATGGGCATTTAAGTAAGTGTTGAAAACCACTGACTGAAGATCCCAAACAGTCATAAAAGGAGATGATTTAGGGCTGGGACAGGCACAGAAGTGTTTTGTCCCTACTTACCATCGTGATTAGCGAGGGTCAGAACACAGATACATAGAAAATGTGTATTTTTAAACATAGGGTTAAAGCTAAATATTTGATGAACTTTAATCTGAAACACAAGGTTTTAAGGAATTTAAGGATTAAGCAAAACGCACAGGAATGGGAGAAATACATTTTTTTCTGGCTTCTTAGACAAACTTACGATCCACAGGAACTTGCTTCTGCCTCTGGGTGTCTCGTGCAACGCTACCACCACTGTCACTAGAGGTGCTGCTTTGGCGGCTGACGGTTGCTGGCGCTTTGGGCACGGGAACCGGAATAGGTGCTGGTGCGCTAGGAGGGAGGGGGACAGCCACGGGGACAGGAGCGGGTGTTGGAGGTGGCAAAGGAGTAGCAGGAGCTGGATCGGGTTGTTTTGCAGCATAGTCCGTCCTTTGTTTCTGAAAAGGTGCAGAGAGACTCGGTTTGCCAACAAAACTTGGGCAGGACATCAGACAAACTCAGGTTTCTGCAGAAAATGCTGGGATGCTTTGCACCAACTGATTTCATTTATTGCACAAAGACATCTCACTTCCAGATATAGTTCCAAAATTTGCCAAAACTTGATTTGGCGTCAATGTTTGGCATCAATTTCTTTCTCTGTCGGGCACAAAATTCACAGCAATGGCATCATCTGAAACACATTTCTTTCTTTCAAGCGGACGAGTTCTATAACTGAAACTGGTTTTAAATCCCAAACTTCTACTACCTGGCACTTTTTAACAGCTTCCAAAATTTTTTAATTGTTGGACTTTATCAGTGTAAAAATGTATACTATAGAGAAGTTATGTAAAAAATAGTGAAAAGTGAACATACCCAGCCACACCTAAGCCTGACTAATGGTTTAACTTACAAACGCCACTGAGGCTGGGATAATACATTGTTTCTTGAACTGCAGGCACCATTTAAGAGGTTCCTGCTCCTCCTTCCCATTCCGTTGGGCCTTTTCAGGTAATTGTGTGGTCACTACAGGCCACCTCAATGCAATAACCCAATTAAACTCCCCCAAACTCCACAATTCTTAGAATAGGGCTGTTGTTTCTTTTCCCCCGCTTTACGCAGTATTCTAACGACATGCAAATTATCTTGCTGCGAATAACTAACTAGCAGGTGTATCAAGAATAATTCTGCGGAATAGTTTCTTTTCTCCTTTTTTGCCTTTAGAATGGCGCCAGTTACAGGAAGAGGCATGTATTTTCCCAAAGCAATCCCAAAGACAGGCAAGCCCAGAAGCTCATAAGCGACCTGTGCTACCCTCGCCTTTCAAACAGTTCAAACGCCACATCTCACTGATTTAGCAGTGCTCCCTCTCCACGGCTTTGGACTAATGCAGCTTGAAAGTTTAATATTAAAGTTTGTTTGCTCAGTAGGGATGCCTCATTTCTTAGTTATGAGATGTCTGCTTACTTTGGTAGGAAAACAGATGAGTACATTCCCCAGATTCATTGCTCCTTCCTGAAACACTCTTCCCTATTTCCTTGGAGGCAAAGGGTTTATGGCAGATCAAGTAGGGAAATATTTGTAGGAGCCATATGTTAGAATCTGAGCAGCACATCGCTGCCCTGACAACAATCAAACTTTCATTAAATGTCAGCAACTGCCCTTACACAGGAATCCCCAAATTGGTAAGTCTAGCTGATGGACAAGGTATTTTGTAGCGAATGTAAACAGGGACCATTGCAGCTAAGCTATGCTGAGTTACAGCAGGAAATTTATCCTGTCAGCTTCTATGGCCATTCAAGTAAGCCCAGGAAAAAAGTCTTTAATTTCCCTTCGAAATTTTCACTGAAATTGTAGTAGTCGGCTACTAAAGCAAAAATATAGTCTTACAATACATTCTCATTAAACCTTTTTGTTGTGGGTTGTTGGTTTTTTTTCCTTAGCATTTAGTTGTTCAAAGGCATTCATCTTAATTATTTTGTGTTCATCTTGTGCAGTGCATTGTGGGGAGATTAAAAAAAAAATTCATATGATTGACTTTTCTGTATTCTACTACTTCAATGTTAAGACAATAAATGCTTTTTTAAATGTCAAATGCCAAGAAAAGTGAAATGCATTATAAAAGAGAACAAGCAGAATAATGTATATTTAAGAAACCTGCCCTTTGGCGGAAAGAGAGTGCCCTACTAGGTATATAGTAAGCATACCATAGTTTATGATACATAGATATACTACGGTATATCCAGTATCTTGTTAATGAATTTAAAAATTTCACAGATATTAAAATGTTTTAGTGATAGCCAGACATTTTTTCAATCTTGCTCATGGATTCCAATTGCTAGACTGTTTTCCCCACAATGTACCCTCATGTGTGCCCCAACCTTCTTAAACAACATGCAAGGAAAAAGCGCGTCTCTTTTTATGGTATAGAGGATTCATTACAAACCAAGGCATCAACTGCATACCACCACAATCATAATCCAGCTAAACACTACACGTAGCTCTCAATGGGTGCTACTGATGTAGTTTCAAAAACATGTTGTACTGCAATCACAAGTCTCATCAAAACGACTTGCTGGAGTGAAAACAAAAATTAAACTGGAAGCATCACTCAAATTCTAAATTTAAAGATGAAACCACATTGAAATACAATTCAAATTTTGTTGAACAGGGCACAAAAGCCAATTATACATTTGAATCACATCTAACAGTTCCTTTTTTAAACACTTCTTTTTTTAACTCTAGATCTTTTGAGGACATCCACACATTCATCCCATCACTTCTATTCATTGCTACAAACAAAACAAGCATGCAGTACAGAATTCGATAACTACATAGTCCAAAAGAGTAATTTTTGAGGCTTGATATCAGATGAGCAGTTTTGTTACCTCTGAAAGCTCTCCAAGCAATTGCTATGAGGAAAAATGGAGTAAATCACATCAAATAATACTGTTAGAAAGGTAAAAAGTAACTGCCTCACATATCACTCCTGAAATGTCATACACAGTAGCAATTTAAAAAAGGACATCAGTGCTAATAATTACCTCTTCTTACTCACTAAGCAACTCACAAAGTGAGTTATTCTTATTTTCTTCTTTCAAATAATGAGTGGAGCGTTGGCTACAAAACATACATATCTGACACCATATAAGCAACCAGCTCTTTTCAAAGCATCTGTCCAGACAGAAACTTAGAAAAAAACAAAAAAAAAATGGTAATGGACTAAAGATTGTAAGATGAATGTAAAGAACGCTTGCAACTGTAGAACACTAAGAATTAAATCACAGCAGGTATCAAAAAAAGGAACTTATTTATTTTAGCTTAGAAACTGAGGTAAAGGTCACTGCTGACAGACATGAACCCACTAATTTGCTGACAGCCATCAGAACAATGAACAATCCCAGTTTGGTTTCTTTTTTTCCTTCTTCCTTCTATCTTTTTCTTTCATGAATAAACTTGCAGTCCTCAAACTCATGTAAATTGGAGCAAATCCTTTAGATTATTTGGAATGGTGATGATACACAGTTATTAAAAGTTGGGATATATGATAAAAGCTTGCTGGGACAAATTTCTTTTTTCTTTTCTTGCCAGAAAACATTTGTTTTTTACAGAATAAAAATAGTGGTCCCAAAGCTCTTTTTCAACACACTACAGGCTGCATCTTGTTAAAAATCAAGATACCACATGATCTGATCCCTTTTTAATGTAAGTAAGATAATAAGTTTGAGCAAAAGTGCTAACAGTATCAACCCTAATTTTGGATCATTGTAAAAGAACTGGGAACAATATATTTTCAAGTACGTTTTGGCATCAAACCCAGGGAATACGTGTATTCAAACTATGGCAAATACAGACATTAAAGAGGCCTTGGATACCTCCATAACTAGCCTTAGTGCTGGGAAATGCTCTCATTAAATTAACAGAGACACGGAGCATTTCAGTGCCACATCCCTGGTTTGCACAGTGAGAGGAGTTAACCAAGAGGGCTGAAGAGCATTCAGCCTCAGTTTTGTCAACAGTATGGTGATTTGGGTGTTTTCTTGAGACTCACATTGGTGACCTCTCAATTTGGGGCATATACCTCCTTCTTTTGGCTATATTTTAAGAGAGAACCAACTACTTGCCTACCCCCAAAAGGGACGATGAGGTACCCAAGACTGGAGGAGCAAATTTCAAGCGAGGTCTTTCACCAGAGTTTCCTTTGGTGGGCTCAGCTATTATGCAGAGTCTACCAGCTGCCTATTGAAGTCCTATTACAAGGCACCTAACTAGCTCTTTGTGGGCTGTAAGGAAGTTATGTTTTTATTGGCTTTAGAAACCCGCCTTGCCAGAAAGCAAGTACATTAGGATGGAAGAAGGAGAAATTTAGACAGAACTTACTTATTCAAATTGGTATTAGCTAGTATTAGTCCCCATTTCTTCAAAAAAAAAAAAAAAAAGGGCAAACTGGGGACTTTTAATTCCTATCACTAATCAAATCCTTTTCACAACTATTTAAGACCAGGTTGGACAGGGCTCTGAGCAATCTGATCTAGTTAGCGGTGTCCCTGCTCACTGCAGGGGGGTTGGACTAGATGACCTCTAGGGGTCCCTTCCTACCCAAAACATTCTATGATTCTGTGATTCTATTCAGTACATTTTTGTATAATAAGTGGCATCCCATAATTTGGGTTTAGATCAATGCTGAATTGGACAGGAGACTTTTTTTCTAACGCCATCAAAAAGTTGTGGTCTGATGGCAATTTCAAGAGCACTTGATATGAAATGGGGTAAAAGAGATAAAATGGCTCCTGGTCAAAAATTATGACATCTCTTTGGCCACTGCAAAATGAACACCTGGCAACTGCATCTCTTCATTATCAAACACTTCATGGTCTGCAGGAAAGATGCCAGTTGGCAAAAGATGAGTATGACACTATGGCACTAACCTGGAGCACAAATGCCATGCTTGAGGGGAAACAACTTCCCACAGAGATATTTTAAGAAGTGAGCTGCTAAACAAAGAGACTTGAAAGAAAGGTTTTAATGGTAGATAGACAAGAAATGCAAAGGATGCTTGTCCCAAGTGAGGTGGAGGCTTTTGTCTTGGTGTTTACACACCACAAACATGCCTCTTACATATACTGTCACACTTCTGTGGACAGCTGTGTTTTATTAAAATAAGATCACAGGATTGCATTTGGCTTAACATTTAGTCTCTGTGCCTCAGGATTTCATACAGATGACTGATAATATAACTGTCTCACCTCACAAAGGGTGTCATGAGATTAATTAACATGCCCACCAAGATACACACCTCCATCCCAATTATGTTCCTCAAATTTCTTTTGCAAGAGCATTAAAAAAAGTTAATAAAATCTATAGTAAATAGGAAATGTTATGATTAATTATTTTCTAGGTTCACCTTCTTCACAAAAGAAGAAATCAGAGTGCTTGGGATGGTGAAGTACTGCTGCTAGGTCACAATAAAAAGGCAGACTGAACCACCAACACCACAGGGAACTCTGATAGTCAATAATTAACATCAGTGGGAAAGATAAACAAGCAGGAAAATGCTCTCCTAAATGTACAAAAGTACCAAATAAGCAAAAATACAGTTTTGCTGGAACTAATTCAACTAACCAAAAGGAAGACAATGTTACAGCCTCTGAGTCACAAAGATGATGAAATAACTAGGATATTGCTCTCAATGTTCCTGCAAGTATCATCTTAGACAATTCGGTGCTTTCAAGTAACTATCTGGGGCCTGGATCCTGAAACGGACTGAGAGAAAAAACAGGATCTTATCTAGTGCCTGGTCTCAGTGGTCACTAGGAGAGAGAACGGAGTGAAAGGCAAATTAACTTTGTAGCTCTGAGAATAATTGCGATCACGAGGCACCCATCTCTCAGAGAAAGGGTGTCTGTCTGTAGAATAACTGAATGAAAAAAAATTATTTCTTTCAATGGAATCCTTAATCATTCCTAATAATCTAGAAACATCCTTTGGTCAGCTGTGCTTTGAAGGCCATTGGTCTGTAAAGAAACACACTACCCTTGCACATAGCACTTATCTGCGGCGCGAAGCGGCCGGGGTGCTCACCGCCGCAGACGGGCTACTTTGAAAGCAGCCTTTCAAAAACCAAAGACGACTTAGGAGACAGGCAAAAGCTGTGCACTGCCAGGCACTGAGCCTGCTCATGTTCAGGGTCTGGCAAAGGCAGTGGTAGGAACTACTTCAATTTCCTGCTCTACCCACAAAGTTTTCCTGTTTGACCTTGGGCAAGGCAGTCATCCCTTCAGTGCTTCATTTATCTTTGAAATAGCAGCAATGTCTCATAGCGCTGTTATGAAAATAAATAGGGTTATGCAAACAGATCC